GCTATTTTCCTCTAAATTAAGTGGTTCCCTGCTACTGTTGACTGTTGATCTATTTAATTTTAAGGTTTATTAAATAGGTTAACAGCATCAACTGAATCCCTAACCCAACTGTATAACTCAATCTGGAAATCACGATGCAACACCACCAACACCTCACCCCTTACAGATATCAAATGGAAACCAAATGAATTACTAAACACCACCAATTTAGCCAAATCAAAAAGAAATCACACCGCTTCTAATGAAAACTCGTACTTCAATAATATTCAAAATGAAACTATTATAGACCTACCAATAATTGTTACTAACTCTTTTATTCAATGTAATTATAACTATAACAAATGTATTCAAAAATTAATCTCATTTCTTTCAAACACCATCCCCCTAATATTGAGTAGGTATTCATAGCTGCTTGGTGCCACACGATAAGATATATTGTTTTAAACTTTCTTTTTAATATTAGTCGTATGGTTACTATAGGCAAGCTAGCATTTAATTTATTGTATCAACATATGAGAGATATTGTTTCTTTCATGATGTATACCTTATTATATACAAATAAAATAAAGAAATGATGTTTACCTACTTTAAAAAAAAAAAAAAAAACTGTAATAATAAACTGAAAGCTATAATTTCAAAATATATTTTTAGATAAATATATAAGAACAAGCAATTTTTTTCATCTTCAAAATTATATTTAAAGATAGTTTTATCTAAAATAGGCATTCAAGTATTATATTCAAAAGTTTGTATATAAAAGTTGTAAAAGCAACATGTATTCAATATTAAGAATAAATAAACTTTATAAATACTTATTTGATTATGAAAAAAATAATAATATTTATCTAGAGCTTCTAACAATATCACTTCAATACCATTTTGATAATATTTTAATATCAGTTTAATATTTAAATTTACTAAAAATTCATATAAACAAGTTACAATCCATATATTAAATTTACTATAGATTGATATTATTTTGATATCAGTTCAATACCAGTTTTGATACTTTTCAAGGTTCTATGTTTACTTATCAGAAAAAAAAAATTAAATCAAATAATAAAACTTTAATATATATTTTTTTCAATAATTTATTTAATTATAATTTAATAGTCAAATAATATAACTTAAATTAATATATTAAACAAAATTATTAAAAAATTATTTTTGAATATTAAATTTATTAAAAAATCTATGTAATCAAAAATACTAAAAATATATATAATAACTTATAATTACAGTATATAAACATTAAGAAAAATAATAATTTGATATATTCTAATTTATTTTTTTATAATTTATTTTTAGATTGTCTTTTTATATACTGTATGTAATTAATTTAATCACTATTATTAATTTTTTATAAACTTTATTTAATATATTAATATTTAACATATTTTAATAAAACTTGTCAATATTGGATAATTAATTATAATGAATTAACATAACCATCATTAAATGTAAAAAAAATTTATTATGAATATAAATTAATAAAAAAAATGATATTTTTATATGTTTTCCTATATAAGTAAATATAATAATAATATATGGTTAAAAATACACATAATATTTATAGATCTTTTGAAAATTCATATGCATATAATATAATTAATGAAATGTAAATAAATCAAATTAATACATTGGCATAATTATTATTATCGTTATGATTAATTCTGATTCAACAAATCACCAATACCAATTTTATAAATTTGTACCACTCACCTGTAACTTATTAGTTTTTTTTTTCTATATGACGTATATAACAGTTGATTACTAATACAATGTTGCACTACATTTTTGAAGGAAAACTCTGTTAGAAATCGTTTTCATTGTGGGAACCGACTTGACCAGGAGTTAGTTATACGCATAATTTTTATGGTATTGGTCTACTACAAATGTCGAGAAAAGCGATTTTATTTATATATATTTGTCAGCTTGGGTGATGCATATTTCGATTTTGATCTGATACAAAAGACAACGGTTCTAAATTCCATTATTTATAAAAAGTACGAATATCTCGCGTAAGTTTTCTGGTCATTTGAGTGTCTACGTATATCCAGTTTGTGCAACAGTCGGCCGGGATCATGAAATACCGAGTTCTATATTGTTTGTACGTACGTCATTTAGTGCATGAAACATAAATAGAAAACCAAGCCTTGATATAAATTCGGTATTGTTTTCTCCGTCTTCCGCTTCCACTCTTTTCACAGTTCATTCGAAGAAAATCATAAGTTACGTTGTTGCAGTACGTAATTTTTTATAAAGCTATACACACAAGCAACACATAGTGCAGCAGAATTCTCATAAGTTTATATATTTTTGTTGAAAGTATATAAATAGTTTTTTCCCGTTATTGTACTCAGGCAGTCGTTAATATCTTTAGAAATTCTGTTGGCAAAATTACATTTCACCTGAATTGGAAATTTGTTACCGATAATTTATCCGGCAAGCATTCCATTCTTGATCTCGATACAGTATTGTTCATATCTAAAAAAAATATTTCCTAAATAACCTCGTCCTCTTTCCACAATTGAACACGTTCGGATGACATACAGTAGGTCGATTTATCCTCAATCTTATTCGTAAATGTCAAGTCCAGTTGGATCTGCAAAGAGTCATGGAGAAAATTCTAGTGGCCCTGATGACAACGTTAATGGGAATAACCAACAACAGTCACCGGCGAAAAGAAAGCGTTTGACTCAAGCATGCGACGCGTGTCGTAAGAAAAAGGTCAAGTGCAGCGGCAAAAAGCCTTGTGATAACTGTACGCGACTCGGTACGGTCTGCACATACTTACCAAGTACGAGAAAGAGAGGCCCTAGAGTGGGTTTGGTGGAGAGTTTGGAAAAACGGTTGCAACAAATGGAAAGGCTTTTACAGCCGTTAAAAGAACAAGGATTGGTGGATGAATCGGATGGTCAAACATTTGAGCACACAGTAAAGAAACCTCGATTAAATTCTGCCGAACCATATCCGGCAGGTAATTTTTCCGACACCGAAGACAATCAATTCTATTCAAATCATAATTCATCAGAACTGGATACACAGCATAAAGGACCTTCCAAGGATACAAAATCACCTTCAAATTTCCACTCATCTCCAAACCAATTCAATAATCCTAATTATACTCCCTCCGAACAAAAGCATCATACCTTTTCTCAATCAGAACTCATAAATTACTTATTGCAATCGCCTCAATCCACCATTTCTTCGCCTCAATTGTCCACGCCTGTTGAAAATCAATCGCCTGTGATAAGTCAAGATAAATTTAGTGAAGGGTCTCGGGACGAACCGGTCCCTTTAATAAAACCGGATATTAGTGATGAAGAGACAGAAATATTTTTCGGGAAAACCGCTGCTTTCCCAGGGTTTCGCGGTGCAGGGGAACTTGCTAAATGTCACGAGAAGATACAAGTTTTCGAGGAATCTCTTCAAAAGAAATCATTCACCGATACGACTTCAGAACAAATCACTCCAACTACGAGCCCTTATTCGCATGTTCCTTCAGGGTCATCGTTAATGTCGAGTAGGCTAATTGACTTTCCAACTAATGACATAGTAGAACACCTCACCTCATGTTTTTTTCGGTCTCTCGATGATCAATTTCCCATGTTTCACCAGGCGACCTTTAAGCGTCAATTGCGGCAAGAGAAAGTTCCTCCTTTTCTCATTCTTTCTATGTGTGCCGTGAGCGCAAGGTAGATTTTTATAAACGGTCATCCGATTTTGTCACATGAAATATGATCTCTAAATCACCAATAAACTTGTTTGCCTTGTCAACAAGGTTTTCCGATCATCCCATGATTAAAACATACCCACCATATCTGTCAGGAGAAGGCTTTGCAAATCTCGCAACTCAGAGGATAACCTCAGCATTTGACGCTCCTTCTGTTGAAAACGTCCAAGGTACATTCATTACATTAATGCATGGTTTAATTATAGTCTTGAAAACAACTATCATACTAATCTTATAAAACTTTAAAGCACTTATTCTACTTACCATGCATACATTTGGTTCACAAAAAGGGCCAAGATCATGGATGTATATTGGAATAGCGATAAGGTTATATTATTATCAATTGTTTTTTAAATCTTTCGCATGTTTTTTTCTCACTATTACACAATGTTAATTGAAAACAGAATGGCCCAAGAATTAGGATTGCATAAAATTGATGAACCTGACCCTTCAAATACTTCAAACCAAATGGATTCCGAGTCCGCTTTCATCAAGAAAGAGATAAAAAGGCGCACTTTCTGGGCATGCTTCATGTTAGATAGGTAAATAAAGAATTGAATAAGTCATTACGTGAAATTTTTGAGTCTAGAAGATCGTGTGAATTAATTTCATTTTTAATTTGTCAACAGGTTTTCCGCATGTGCCTTGGGTAGACCAGCAGTGATACATGAGGAGGACTGTGATGTTCGACTCCCATGCGTAGAATCAATTTGGACCATAGACCATCCTTTTACAAGCCCAGCGATTAACGAATACCTAAAGGAAGATTATATAAAACGGGATACTCACTTTAATCTTTCCACATCTGGAATTTATTCGATTTTTTGTAGCGTCTTCATTCTGCTAGGCAGAGCGTCCCAGTATGCCAATCGTTCTAAGCCAACGAGTGCTCTTCCTACCTGGGATCCACAATCCGAATACGCGATTCTAGAAAATGAGATAGAAGATTGGTATCGAAAGATAACACCGTATTACGGATATTCTAAAGAGAGACTGAACACATTTAATTCCATTGGATATGGTGGACTATTCGCATCCTTGCATTTATTGTACTACGCAGTCGTTGTGGTCCTTAACAGGCCTAATTACGTGAAACTACAGAATGAAGATTACCCAATAATACATAGCAATTTTATAGAAAAATCAGCGGCGAAATGTAGCACTGCTGCAACGCATGTTAGTTCTATGGCCGCGGACATCATTCAACACGCGATACATCTAAAGTGTCCTTTTACATTGTATCCAGTCTTTGCAACGGCAACCATTCATATTAACGACTCATATAACGAAGACATTAATATTGCAAATGCAGCCAAAGAAAGTTTGAAGATACACAATAAATACATGTGCGATATCGGACCGATTTGGGCAATGGCCAACAAAATGTGTCAGATGGTGAAAGAGATGTGCAACTTACAGTCAGATACACCTAAGGCGGCATTTTTTTTCGATGGTGAGAAACGAAAACGTCGTACCCAACCTAGAACCGAATTGTTGTCACCAAGCACTGATGCAGGTTTAATGGCATTCTGGAATCGTACTAACAGCAATCCTCCAGACACCAATAATAATTTGATGGTTACAATGGGCTTCCCCGACCAGTTATTGTCCCCACGGTGGTTTTTGAATGAATCGAACGATAATTTGATGGTTGGTGATCCGTGGGTGAATTTCCTTCGATCGCAATCGTCAGTTACACCCGGAAGTTTGATACGGTACACTAAAAAGGAGAATGGAGAAAATGAAGAAGATTACTTCTCTCAATTCATGTCGACATATAATAATAACTCATCGTATGTTTACGAACCCTCTAATTTCGACATGCAAACTATTCCCGAGTGGTTACCGGGAAGGTTCATGCATCCAAATCGTCAAACCATCAAGCAATGGACCGACGCAGACTCAATAATTCCAGATTCCATTGTTCAAATTCCTTTGTCATCGTCGAACATAGACGATCAGGGTAGTAGTAGAGAGTTTAAAACCACGAATTCGCAGAGAGTAAACGACATTCGTTTGGACCCATTTATTCGTTAGTACATCATCATAACGAGTACTGCGGAGGATACGTGAGAGAAAATTGGTAAATTTTGATCAAAGATTATTTACATGATTTTTGTGTGCAAGCAAGGACACCCTTTTCTAAAGATATCCTCGGCATCCTAAATTAATTATTAAAAACATTATTTTCCTAAGATATTAAACCTATTTGATAAATTATTGTGTATTTAGTTAAATGTATACTTTATTTAAGATGGGGATCGAAGGGAAAGAACTAGAATTTGGGAGAGCATAAGGGACTTTATTGTATCATTTGTAATTTGATATAGACCGAGAGTTCATTCTATGATTTCTTTTTTCTGCTTCTTTTTAGAAAGAGTCAATAAAAGATACCATCATGATGAATTAGTACGTCGTACTCTATTATCGATAAACCTTTTGAATTAACGACGTGAAGTTATACGGTAAAACAACTTCTTTTAAAAATATAGAAAGCGAATTTTTGATATCGATATCGGCACCAATAGAAAACTTTGTTTTATTTTCTACATCGATCCTTTTCCTATTATTACGAAGAAAATATTGGAATCAACAAAATCAATCTCAATGTCCTTATCGAAATAATGTAGAGTAATCTCGGCTTGATCTTTGACTCTGGCTACATTTTTTTGGTTAGACCAAGGGATTCCAGTTTACCAAAAGACAATGATAGTTATTTATGTTTTTTGTCGAGAGTAAAGAATGGGACATTGAAATGGACTTTTTTATTATGCCTAATAGGTCGAAATGAATGAATAAAGTTGAAGTAAACGTTAAACTCCATATTACTCGAAATAGAGATGTGTGAACTCGCCTCCTTTTTTTCTTGCTTGGACCTGCAGCATGATCTTTTTCTTCGCGACTCCTGCGTTTCTTGCGTTGTTTCTTCTCACGTTTCTCTGATTAATAACCAATATATATTAGAAAAACATCTAATTATTCTTTACAAGATAGATAGAGAACTCTCACCCTTTGGCTTGACCGCGGTATTTCCTTTCTAATCATGCAAGAATAAATATCCATCTATCGTTTCGGTAAACAAACATTTTTCTCTTCAACAAAGTACTCGAACCTCATTGATAAACATTTTCTGACTGAATTTTTCCACCAACGAATCCTCTCTAACTAAAAATGGGTTTTCCACGCTCCCAAGTTTCGTTGACGAATGATTATTATTCCTAACCGGCGGAACTTCTGGAGGTGCATTGATGGCCAAATATTCTTGTTGATAATATTTAAAATTTGCGGCGTTGAATATTCTGTTAAACGCATCATCAGGAAGACAATCCACTTTATGTTCTATTGTGAAGTAACAGGCAAAAATCAAATTTATGGTAATATTGCATAATAAAGATTTCAAAGTACTTACCTACGCTACGCGTAGGGTAATTTGAAGTATAGCCGGTTGAGGGATTCCAAAAAATATTATGATAGTGTTGATTGAATGCATCATGCAAATAATGAAGAGTATTCACCTATTTTCACGTGAGATTTGATATGTTAATTGTCGACGCGAGATAGAAATACAGTAAACGAGATTAAGTGATGCTCAGACGCTACCAGACGATTTGTAAGAATTGATTCCAAGTTCGGAGCATGATATACATTGCCCCTAAGAATATAGTATTCTTCCAAAGCGTGTGCTTGTGAGTAATAATCAATTGAACGGTGAGAAAAGGCGTTACGTAAAAACTTCATTTTGCAGACGGTACATACCCTCATTATATGCTACTCTATTTTGCTTCCGAATGATAAATAAATCCGGTGGCAGAGAGTTGATGACCACATATTCGATCCCTTTCATTCTCCTTTTGTAATCATAATTTAACCCCTGCGTTGAGGTCGTTTCACATCACGCGTTTAGATAACGTGAAAATACACTATGGACACGAAATTACCTCATTGTTCTTTCAACAGATTCGTCTAAAAATCTACAAGTCATCTTTAGGAGTTCATTGTTACACCTTTTGTCGTAAAATGGGGATAAAGAAAAGTAGTCCAAAACGGTCTCGTTTTTCAATAGTCCATTCTAGAGCGTGCGTAACCGAAATGAAACACGTTGAAGAATACGTAAAATGTGAGAAAAAGAAACTTGCAAAATGGATTACTCGCAGAAGCCAACAACTATCACGAAATACGATTTGCCGAGGATCTGTGGTATCGAGTCCTACTTCCATGAGAAAAAAAATTATACCGTGCAGTTAAGAAGAGGGTTGGTGTAATCGTGTGAAATGTTAAGATGAAAATTTAGACTTTCAATGGGCAGTACTCAGCACGAAAATATGTAAACAATTAGTCTGTGAAAAAGGTCTATTATCAAATGAACAAATGACATATATGACTAAAGTATAACGGGTAATGAATGAACGAATGAATGAATATACAATCGTGTATCGCGATTATCTAGAACACGTATCGTGTGTCATCATATTATCCATCGTTGCCTGTTTACGCAATATGCCGCAACCAAAATCTTGGACCTTATTTCACGTATCGAATAAACAATTGTTAGATTGAATTGATCGTAGGAATACATAATATGCTTGGTCACTATATACTGTACATGTATTGAATATAAGAAATTGGATAAAAGAAAGTAGAAAAACTGTCACATCAATACCGGGGTCTGGAATCATTAATATTAGTATATTTGCGTGTTTATTTACACTAATATTGTATTACGTATTTACGTATAATTGAAAAAAAAGCGCGTTATTCGAATCGTCATAAAAACATATGATGCCGTATATTTGTACTGTATCATGTAAATCCTGTTATTGCTTAATTAAAATTAAAGATAATTTTTTTTTTCAAGATTTTAATCAAACCAATATTGCCTTATACTGATTATACCGAACCGACTGCGGTTCATATTCGATCCTGAATTCTTTATCGAGTCTTTCTTGTCCCCTCAAAAGACATATCAATTAATGTATAAGGTGCAGTAACCCAAACATAAACCTTTCTGATTTTTTTAAACCTCGGTTTGGCAACTTAGCAATATCTTGTTTGCTCAAATAAATAAATCGTTGTGCAACACGCACGTGTCCTTATTACTGTATAAAATCATCCATTATTAGCAAGTATTAACACCGGTGCATAAATTCATGGGTGAATCCTGTCATTTTTAGTATATGTATTAAATATCTATGAGAATCTTTCGTTTCAAGTATAGCATCATCGCTTTTGATTAATATTCTCACGGAACTCAGACATGCATGCATTATTATTATGCCACGGGCTTAATTGATAATATGCGAAAAGTTTCTGATGACAATCAATCGGTGATATGGCATAACGTTGTTTATGCCTTCACTTTTTCGATCGCAGATAACAATTTGTTGTATAATTTTGTACAGCATCCTGATATCCTTGAATACGTTGCAATCGCAATTGTTAGGAACAACGCTGAAACGTAGATTACGTACACCCTCTTTATATTATATTATTATGTAAACAAGCATGAGATTACGGGCATTAATTGTTATTACGAAATTTAATTTCGGCGAATATCTTTGGGGATGCTTTGCTATAATTGATGACAGATTAGTCATACGCTAAGAATTAGTAACATGATGATAAATCTTAACAATGCAATATTAATAATTAAATCTCTATTTGCTATTTATTTTACTGATTGTTATTTTTAATTATAGTAAGTATC